AAATTCCTTTAGGGATAAATAAGAAAATAAACACTGCCTTAGAATGCACAGACACTCTAGTTCTATATCATGTTGGCTGTTGTCCCTGCCTCTTGATGGAGAATTGCTTAGGTCGTAAGACCCCTGTCTTCTAAGGATGCTCCTGAAGACTGGATCCTTATAGGCTTCGAGAGGACCAGTCCCTGTGACGTGTGCTCCTCAGAACACAGTCTTTCCATACCTTTTGAGTAGGTTGACCTCGAGTAGCATTTCTTTCTGCTACATCTTGACCTCGAGTAGCATTTCTTTCTGCTCCATCTTTTTTTTGCATTAATGAACTATGCCTCCAATATTCTCTTTCCTTTCATTTATCTCCTACTCCTTTCAGGGAGACTCAGCTGAATTTCTGACTGTTTGCCCTGCTTCCCATGTTGGTATCTTTCCTTATCTAACTCCTAGCATGAGCACTAGTTGCTGGGTTTGAGCAACTTTATCACTTTGACTTTCTTTCCTTTCTGGCCCATTCTTTTGTTTTTCAAGAAAACTCTTCTAGATTTGGCATTTCCCTTATTGAGAGAAATTAAATCAATTAAGGCCTATATTTGCCCCAAACCTCCAATTCTAAAAGATCTTATCCACATTTGCCTCCCCACAATGTATATTCCTACCTAGGAGATATTTTCCTATCAGAACAATAGCTAATCCAAGCCTGTATTCAGTTATAGCTTTGTCTATCTCCTCTTTAGTATGTCCGGTCTTTCTGTGCCTTTCCTCAGGGGCCTGATTCATGCATTTCTCCAATACATTCTTTTAGGACATAGGCAATGCTAGATTTGCATTTTCAAAACCTTTCACCTAGAAATTTATCTAGCAGTCCTTTAGATATTTCATGCTGTTCTCTGTAGTCCTTTCCTGTTTTCCAGAACTCTGTTAGCGTATAACAAGTATAACAACCCAAATGATAACCATTTTTATTATATCTTATAATCTGAAGGGCCAAGAATGTGGGCAGAGCCTGGATGAGTGATTCTTCTGTTCCATATGGCATCAACAGAGGTCATTTGGTGTTGTTCAGCTGGCAGATGGTTTGGAGAGTCTTAGAAAGCTTCATGACATGTAGAGTGCCTTGGAGGGGATGGCTGGAAAGCTGGTGTCTACTGAGATTATTGATCAGGGATCCTACACATGGTTTCTCCAGCATGACAGTCTCAGAGTTACAAAACTTCTTACATGGTAACTCAGGACTCTGAAAAGAATGTTACAAGAATCTTGGGTGGTAGCTTCAAGGTTTCCCATGACCTAGCCTTAGACGTCCTGAAACATTACTTCCACCAAGTGCTGGCTTTTATTTGTCAAGCAAGTCATTGAGGCCAGCCCAGGTTTAAAAGGTGGTAGTGGCAGGAGGGAATTGGAGCTCACGTCTCTATGGGAGGAGTAGCAAAGAATTTGTGGCCATGTTTAATCTGCCACACCCTGTCACATCAGCCCACATTTATGTCATTTCTTTGCATGGCTGGGCTGCCCTAACTATGTCCAACTATGGATTCTCTATCTGAAGCTTTACACAGAGGCTTCACTGTATTTTCCTGGCTCCCTCTGAGGAACTTATTCCAGGCTGATGTATGAGAGTTTATCTCTCCTGATCAATTTCACGGGTCTGCAGTCACTGCCTGAGAAACAAAAATACTTTTTCCTTTTTGAATTCCTTATTTAGAGAAGCTAGATTGTGTACATTTCCTTAACCCTTCTTTATCCCTTTTTCCTGGTCTTCAAGATTCAGGGGTTTTGTGTGTGTGTGTGTGTGTGTGTGTGTGTGTGTGTGTGTGTGTGTGGTGTTTTTTTTTTTCTTCTCTGCCTAGTCTGTCTTTAAAAAACTATTTCTGTCATTCAGTCTCATCAATCTTTGCTCCATTATTTTGTGTCTTTTCTGCCACTCTTCTTATGATACAGGGTGAAGCGTACTTTTGACACGTCTTCAGTTTCTCCTTGATTGCCTGAAAAAAATCTTGATTTTAGAGACTGTGTTAGTTTGAAGCTGACACCAAGATAGGATATGATAGATGCCTGTGAAGGATGAAAGGGAGGAAGTGGGGCAGGCATGGAAAACCATGTTGCAGGTCTGAACACAGAAACAAAAGGTGGAAGGAAGACTCGAATAGGAAGAGACGTGGAACTTTCAGGCCAAAGGAGTCCCCTCTAATGGCCACGGGCTGCAGTAGTGCCCCTGCTCTGCTCTGTCACAGCTGGGAGTAGCTCAGGGAGGTATGGCCTCAACAAGGACACAAGGCTGGATCCAGAGGGACAGCAGCTGGGGCTCTCAGTCAGCTCTGCCCCCTGCAGCAGGAGCTCTGGCTCCCACAGGGTGGAGAGCTGCAGATGCTAACGGGACCCAGGATGGAGAACCACTCTCCAATCTGGTGAGAGTTGCTAATGAGGCCAAATATTCTCCTTGTTTTGAGACTTCTATCTTTGCTGGTCCAGGTGAGGTCCTGCCGACTTTGAAGGAGATGGATTCACTGAACTTGGAAAACAGGAAGTCAGATTCACAGGATTTCAGGTCCAACTAACTCCACCACATATCACATGCTTGACCTTGGTCAGATTTCTCATGTCTGTTTCCTCAAGTGAAGTGACGGTTGGACAAGACTTGCTGAGGGTCCTTCAGCTCTGACATACTGTGACGATTTCAGTGGGGCCTTTGATCTCAAATTTTTCCAAATTTATCTTTATGAAAAGGATGATTACAACTTTTCATTGTCAGAGAGCTGATTCACTGAGATAATCTGAGGCATAATTACGGTATACGTGCGTAGAGACATTAGCAAGAAATTATTCTCAGGCGTAAATGGTCTAGTGTTAGCAGATGATTGCAAAAGACATTGGGTTGAATTGTTTAACGTCATGCTAATTTGCTTGAAGTGCAAACACTAATCAGGAACACTGAGTAATTATGATTTAGGTACAAGCCCCCAGTATATGAAATCGGTGTTTTCATGTGAGCATTAATATGACTTACGTAAGTGCTTACGGTATGATGGGGGAGGATTCTAAGAAGGACGTTCATTACAGAGACTTGCAGTAACAAATCTTGGTTATTAATTTTACCTTTTGTTGAATATCTTATAAGAGGCATCTATCAAACCTTAGGGAATAATTTTTACATTTAATGTTGCTTGATTAAATACGCACTTAATCTTAGACTGCTCTCTGTAGAGAATTAGTTTATTGTATGTGTGAAGTATTTTATGAGTTTGAATAAAGAGAAAAAGAGAGTCATTTACCTTGAGCCTTAAACACACTTAATTTTAATCATTTTACAAATGGGGAAACTGAGGCCTAGGGTTTTTTTTTTCTCTATTGCCCAAGATCACAAAATGGTAACCACTGACAATTTTATTTTGCTTCCATGTGCCGAGTACCTTTAGAAGTCCTTTATTTATATATTGGCTACCTTTTCTTTTATTAAAACAATTTTTTTTAAATGTTTATTTATTTTTGAGAGAAACAGAACATGAACAGGGGAGGGGCAGAGAGAGAGGGAGATATAGAATCTGAAGCAGTCTCCAGGCTCTGAGCCGTCAGCACAGAGCCTAATGCTGGGCTTGAACTCATGAACTGTGAGATCCTGACCCGAGCTGAAGTCCGACACTCAACCGACTGAGCCACCCAGGAACCCCTGTATATTGGCTACCTTAATAAATGGGTATAGCCACCTTAAGAGATAGACGCTGTAAATTCCACCCTGTTTTACACAGATGAAAACTGAATCACAGAAGGGCTAAATTCCTTGCTCTGGGGCACCCGGACACCATGGCAGAACCAGGATTTGCACCCAGGGCAGTTTGAGTCCAGAGTCCCTGCTTTCAACCTCAGGCACACTTCCTCATCAACGTAACATGTTAAAAAAAGGCAATCTGGCACTAGAACTCAAGTCTATTTCCTTTTAAGTGTTTTTTTTTTCCCCCGTAACGGTGGGTTTAATTAAAAAACAAATCCATTTTGATATTTTAAAATAACATAGCAACTGCTCAGAGCCCCCAGCTCTGGAGGTGTGACTTTCTTGCATGAAGCACCCCCAGGGCAAGTCTTCCGAATCACTGTCTCCACATCTCCCAGGAGAAACTCCAGCAACTAGAATTAATTAGCAGGTAGGAATCATTTATAATCAATGAATCATATGCTTCAAAGCAAATGGCTGATTATGAAGTAGTTTCAAGATACGTGAAAAAGCTTTTTCCCAGAAATAAGCTAAACTAATCTTTATGTCTCATTTGTTGATGAATTTTCCATTTGCTTTTCTTCCTGGTCCTCCCTGGGTCCTAGGTCCAGTCACTTCTAGCCTTCTTACCACAAACCTTAGTTCCCTCAGCTTGGAGCGTTGATGACATTCCCGAGTTACCCACTCTTAGACAGGAATCCCAGTATTGCTATTTTGGCCTGGCTATACAATGCAAATGACCTCCCAAGGAGTAAGCTACTGTAGACTACTTCTCTCTTTTTTGTTTTGTTTTGTTTTGTTTTGTTTTGTTGGAGGCTACTTCTCTTGACTCAACCCCTGAACCCATTACCCAGCTGGATACCCACCCGTTGGCTATCAGTCATCCCAAACAAACCAATTCTTTGGCCATAGCAGTAGCAACCCCTTGGTTTTCAACTTTAGGGTTGAATTTAACTTCTGGTTTCTGTCTTCATTCGAAGCCAGGAGAACAACAAAGCAGTACTTGTTGAGACCATCAGTACTGAGAGCTGATTTTCTGTCGATTGGAACGGGGCACATTTGTTGTCGATGCCCCAGGGGTTTGAAATTATCCCGTATTTCTGAAATGTAGTTCAGACCTCATACAGGCTCATGTCTTTCCCAAAGCTAGAACCTCACCACCCCCATACTGGGACTGTGAATGGGGCAGGATTATAATTTCTAGGGGGCTTTTAGGAGCATGGATCCATTGGTATTCCATTAAGGAAGATTAGTGGAGGATAGATGAAGTGAGTAACCATCAGACTTTGCTATCTTTTCTTAGGCACTGGTGAGAAAAATCAATGCCTCAGACAATATCTACACCACGGAATCCACCACAGGGAACCTGTTCAGCCTGACCCAGGAGGGGGCTCCCTTGTGCCGCATCATCGCCAAGGTGAGCTTCACGGTTAGAGGCCAAAGTGACAGGCTTGGGGAGAGTGGGAGGGAGCTAGTTTGGTGGGAATAGCTGGCTCCAGAAGTTGTTGGCTGTATGATCTTGAAAGAGTCACGTCCCCTCTTAAGGCCTTGGTGTCTCCATCTTTAATAGTGGTTAGACCCTCTGATTTCAGCTCCCTCTTGAGAAGAAAGCAGTGCCCCCAGGGTCTCATCCCTATACTCCTCTTAATGTGGTATCTGTTAGGTATATCAACTCTCCTTTCTCATCTCTACATATCTCACCAAACCCAAACAAAACATATCCCCCAACTCAGGTTCTTGATGAATCCCCCAAACACCTGCAGCCACTGCAGTACCACATGAGAAGACAAAATTGAGGGTAACAGTGGTTTTCATCAATTACAATGGGAGTTCTAATTCACCAGCTTCGTGGGTAATTTGCCCCTACGCTTGGTGTGCAGACACTTAGGGTAAATACAGGCAATTGATGATCCTAGGCTCTCACCAGGGTCTTCTATTTCATTTTTGCTCATTTTTTTTTTTAACTTGAGAAATGACATTGCCATGGAGATAAAACTAGTGATCTAATTGGACACAAAGTTATGTCTTTCAGGAGATGTATGATGCCAGCCACAGGAAGATGCTGTGGTTCAGTGGTCCCCAGTCTTGCCTCTGTCTCACAATCCCTCAGGGGATTTGGGAAAACACAGATCCTTTTGCCCCCACTTAAATTTACTGAAGTCCTGGGATGAGACCTGAGAATCCACATTTTAACGAGCGCTACAGGTAGTCATGAGGCATGGCCACTCTCAGAATCACTCACCTAAGCCCTTAAAGAAATCTGGAAGAGGAGTATGGAAAACAATTTGACAATAAACTTCATATATTGAAAAAAAAAAAAGAAAAAAAAGAAATCTGGAAGAGGAGGGTAAATGCTTGTCAACCCTGCTTAGGGGAGCAGTAAGTCGCATATAACCACAACAGGTAACATTTGAGCGTTGCTGTCTTGCCGTCCACTGTGCTTAATGCCGTTCAGACATTATTTGCTTTAAATCACAAAACCATCCTAGGAAGTTGGTATCAAGTTGTTCTCATCCATAATTGAGGAAATGGTTTAAGGGACTTACTCAAGTTCACACAACTGATCAAGAGTGGAGTCAGAATTAGAGCCCAAGTTTATTTACTTCAGAGCTCATGGTCCCAAAGCCCACAGTGGTGACTTCTGGTTTCATCCTGGCCCTTTAGATTCTTGGGCCAAAGAGTGACTCAGAAGTTCTCAATCCTGATGCATGTTAGAATCGCTAGGGAGCTTTAAAAGTCACACAGCTAGTAAGTGAGGGAACTGGAATTTGAAACTGCCTGCTTGGCAGCAAAGGCTATGCTCTTGCTTACTATTCTGAACTGCCTCTTAGCAACCCTCCTCCTCTTTTTCCTTCTTCTCCTCCTGTTCCTTCCTCTGCCCTTCTCTCTGCCTTCTACAACCTTTGTTATTTTCTGCATCCTTCCTTCTCTCCAAGCATTGTGCTAAGCTCTTCATTCATTATCCCATCTGATCCTCTCAGTGATCTGATGATGTGTAATTATAATTCCCATTTTTGAGATGAGGGAACAGAGGATCAGAGAGAAGGTAAATAACTTGTCCGAGGTCATGCACATTAAGTGCAGAGCTGGGATTTTAACTAGATGTTCTGCCTCCAGAATCTTCATCTCAATCTTCTTGTGTCTCGAGTCCTTGGGAGAGAGTAGACAGAAGGCTGAAGCAAAGAGAAGATTCAGTGATGACTCCCATCTTCCCAGCCTGGAAGAGGGTGAGACTGGTTCCTCCAGTGGAGTCACCATGTCTGAGTTTCTAGTCCTGACAGTGACACAGGAGCTGGGAGCCCCTGGTGCACTCTACACAGCATCCTCACTGTTGATGCTCAGGTAGTGTGCCCAACACTGTGACAAATTTGGGGCAAATCTGGGCCTCGAAGTGGCCTGCCCACCTACCTCCTCAGGGCCCAGTGTGGTCTGTCTTTGGGCCCTTCATCTGTCTGAGGTCTGCCTTCTCAGCCTCTTGGGTTCCTTTGAAGACCAAAGAACAAGCCCAGCCCTCCCTGTGATGGTAGTAGTGAGCCCCATCCCTTCTTGAGCGCAGAGCAGAACAAACTCCCTTGTGCTATGTCACAATTATCCTGCTCTTCTATTATTTCCCCCATCACTAGCCTACATCCCACAAGTAGCCTCCTCAGCTTTATGACAGCTTATCCCAAGTCTGCCTGAATAATAGATGCCATTATACGCATTGGCTTTGAGCCCATAGCTTTCTATAAAATTAAACAAGCTCTAGCCAACAGTGCAATTCTGCTAGCTCAGGCGATTCCCAGCTCTACTCTAAGACGAGTGCTGTTCTTGGGTCCTTGAGGGGTTTTCAGGGTGGTCCACACAACTATTCCATGTACCTTCCTCTGGAGCCTCCTTCGTCCTCTCCCTTCCATGTATTCCAACCCTTGGGAAACCTTTTATGAAGGTTTGAGACATTCTTCTAACCAGGAAGCTTTCCATAGACTGACCCTCACCTGGGTGAGGCCCTCTCACATACATGAACTCAGTTGTTCCCCCAACAGCTTGGTTGTGTAGCTGCTGTGACCCTGTTCTGTGCCGAAGTTAACCCGCAGCAAAGTCAGGATTTGAACCAGAATCCCCTCAGTCTGGATTCAGCATTTCTTCCCTTGAGATTTCCCAGTAGCTAAAAATGCAAAGAAAGCTATTTTCCACAGGCTTGGCAAACAGTGTAATGAGAACCCAATGCAAACGGGTACTGAGGCTTAAATATAGTTATGCTGAGTTCAGTGCCTCCCCAGCCAAAGGAAGCCTGCCACATTGATCCTGGCTCTCAGTCTGGCATTCTTTGGTGCCATTTCTTTGTTGTCTGCTCCAGATGTAAATACCTACCTACCTGTCCATCTATCTATCATATCTATCAATGTATCTATCTGTCACTTACCATCTCTATCATCATACATATAAATATTTTATACTATATATGATTAAATATAAACACACGCATAAAAATATAAACATACATATGTGAACACACATATATAAATGTACCTACATACATAAGCACATATATGTGTATAAATAACTTATATCTGGAGGGAGGTCAATAATAACCAGCCGGGCTGGCTGGGGAGAACTTAGGACTTCTGTTTCTTCTTACCTTAAACACTAATTTGATTTTACTTAGTGACTCTGAGTAAGGTCTTTATGTGGAACCCTCATCAGATGTCCCAGAGACCATGAGAAAGTAGGAAGACAGGGATAAAGGATGGTGAAGCAGGAAGTCAGAGGGGGTAAGTGTCTTGCTGCGCAATAGATTGTATCTTCATCGGAGGAGTGATGTGTATTTAACATCAGAGTGATTCTCTTTGACCCTTCCACAGCCCCCATGACTCCTTGGCTGCCAGAGCCTGAGTTCAATATGGACCAAGGCAGTCTTGCTCAGTGCTTAGCCCAGCGTCTGACATATACTGCACCATGAATAGTTTTTGGCTGCGTGGATGAATTTATCGGCCATATATGATATGCCCGTTTCCCACCAAATGAACCACCCCAACAGGAAGTAGGAATACGGAAGTTAAAGAACGCTCTCAGCTGATTGTAAAATGTCAGAATTTACGAACTCATCTTGGTGCCTGCAGTGATAAGCAGCAAAACTCTTAGAATGAAGAAGGCTGCCAGGCTGATCTTGGTGGGACGCTGGGAAGGGCGGATTTGGGAGGACTTGTTGCAGCGAGTCTGTGCTGGGCCCTAGAAGTCATCGCTGTGGCTTCTTCTAGTTGCTCATTCATTATCTGCGCTGTCAGTCACAGCTGCGCCCCCAGAACATGAAACAGTGCCTGGTGCTCGGTACATTTTTTGTTGAAAGAGTTCTCAGAAATCTGACAGTGGATGATATTTTGCTGGACTCAGCTTCTTACATTTTTTTCAGTTTGGGGAACAGAGTGTAACGGGTTTAGTTAGAGCCAGGGGTGGTAAGGTTAAAGGCAAGTGCCCTCAGGGCCAAGTTCAGATCAATCTTCACAAGTTCTTTACTGCTGCCATCCCCAGGCTCCCTTGCAGGCCTCGGGGAAGGGGATGATGGAGGAAACAGGGCAAAGCCAAATGTAGGGTGTCCAATTTCTCCTGCTCTGGACATCCACGGTGGTGTTGCCACCGGTTTGCTGGGCGCCTGGTGAATCTGCTTTGGGATCTAAGAGCCATGGTGGTTCCAGTGATTCCTATAGAATAAATATGGCCAGTTAGGATGAGTGCCTCACCTTACCCCTGGATTCTTCCCAGAAGTCCTCCCAGACTGCGGTGAAGTTCCACAAATTAAAGGTGTTTCCATGCCCAGCTGTTACAAAACAAGTATGCGCTCACACTCAGCTAGGGTGTTTGTTGCTGAAGGTTTTTTTTGTGTGTTTTTTTTTTCTTGCAAACTAGAGTAAAGAAGGGAAAACATGGATGATGTAGATTTGGGTGAATGATTTCACCCATCTGGCTTGCTTTTTTTTCCCTCACAAAATGAGTATAAATTCTAGTATTGATATAAATAAAAGTCCTTTTTTGAGTGCCTGCCATGGTGGTTGGAAGGATCTGAGAAGTAATGGTGTTTTTTGGCAGAGGGAGAGCCTGCACAGGGCACTAGGCTTCAGTTCCCTTCACTTGCCTCAGACTTGCTTCTAGAACCTATTTCTGAGGACTCCAGGCTTGTTCTGTGACAGGCTGCTGAGAGGGAGTTGCCAGGTATGTGGAAACAGTGTTGACTGGTGTTGAGGCTGGCCCTCACAAATATGTCTGCCCTAGCCCCTGGCACCACAGCCCCAGAAGCATTTGGACAGTCCTATTTCCAGTTTGGACCATCAAGGGTGACATTACTTTTGGAGGTGGCATTTCATTGCAGTATGCATTTGAGCATGGAAGTGTGTGTGTGTGTGTGTGTGTGTGTGTGTGTGTGTGTGCACGTGTGTGTGCGCGCTCGTGTGTGTGCATGTGTGCGTGTGTGTATGTGTGTAGTTTAGGTGAGGAAGAATTCTTTTTTTTCTACCATCTTCTTAGGTTCTCTGGCTGGTGCCCTATAAATCGGGCTGACAATTTTCTCTTAACAGGAGAAAAACAAGCAAAAGTTTATTAGCATATGCATCACGATTACACATGGGAACACTCAGAGATGAGTGACTCAGAGGCTTGGTTAGAACTTGAACTTATACAGCCTCTTAGCAAGAGAACAATACATTTTTAGAGAACTAAAAAAACAGATAACAGGCAACCTGAAGAGCACTTTGAGTCTCTAAGAGTGGCACGTTGTAGGAAGGCAAATCTATGGAAAACTGGTGATAGATGAAGGATAGTAGGTAAAGTTTGTTATGAGGATTGCCCTGATGGCATCTCCAGGCTGTAAGGGTCTAAAGTTATCTCTGGTGAAATTTATCTCTGTGTAAATTTATGTCCTCCTTCTGGCAAATAGGAGGAGGGCAGAGACCTCTGATATCTGCTTCTTCTCAGTTGCCTTCAGCTCAAAATAATCTTTACGGCAAAGTGATGTGTCTGGGGTTGGCATATTCTGCTGCCCTAAAGACCCAAAAGCATATCAGCTGAGTGAGGGATGACAATTATTCTTTTTTTTTTTTTTTTTTTTAATTTTTTTTTCAACGTTTATTTATTTTTGGGACAGAGAGAGACAGAGCATGAACGGGGGAGGGGCAGAGAGAGAGGGAGACACAGAATCGGAAACAGGCTCCAGGCTCTGAGCCATCAGCCCAGAGCCCGACGCGGGGCTCGAACTCCCGGACCGCGAGATCGTGACCTGGCTGAAGTCGGACGCTTAACCGACTGCGCCACCCAGGCGCCCCAGGGATGACAATTATTCTTGAGTCAACCCCAGGAAAGGTGACACAGGGAGGTGAAGTGACATTTTCTTTTTCTTGGCAGGAGGGTGGTGTCGTAGCCCTCTTCAAAGTCTGCCGGCAGGATAGTTTCCGGTGCTTGTACCCCCAGGCGCTGCGCACGCTGGCCTCCATCTGCTGTGTGGAAGAGGGTGTCCACCAGCTGGAGAAGGTAAGCGAACAGCTGGCTGGCTGGGTGGGGCTCAAGGTCTCTGAGTCAGGTGGGTAGTGGGCGGGGCCTGACAGATGTGGTGACCACCTGGGCTTCTTCCTCTAAGAACCTATTTTTCCCAGGCATTGCTCTAGTGAGGCTGCTGGGATTTTGACTATGGAAGTTGATGAAAAGGAAAGGGATTAAGAATTTGGCCAGGAAGGGCAGGGCCCAGAGGGGCACTCAGTACTTCCTGGGTAGAGAGGCCAACGGTCCAGTGGGCAGAACACAGCAGGAGGCAGGCAGGTAGGGTGTGGAGTGGTGTCAAAGTTCAGGGCTGTTGGTCTTTCACTCATGGCCCCAGTGAAGGAGGAGGATCCTGCTGCCTGGGGAACAGAGTGGGCAAGAGAAGGACGGACATTGGCCTGGTCAAGCAAGTGGGGCTCAACCAAGACAGAGGGATTAGGTAAGGGAAACTGAAGCCGAAGTCCAAGTGTATGTTGGGTCAACATGGCACGGGATGAGTGGGGCCAGAGGGAAGGTAGTGATCTGGTAGACCTAGGTGCCTCAGCCGCTGGCCAACCTAGGGCGATGTGACTAATTCTAGCTACCACCCCCTTCCCCATTCTCTCCAGGTTGTAGAGCTGAGATTGGGGGTACCTTGAGTCTGGTCTGTATTGGGATGGGGCAAGCAAAATGCTCCCCTTCCTCTGTACCTCTGTCCCACAGTCTGGTCCCAGCTCCCAGAAAACCTACCCCCCACCCCCAGCGTCTTCACTTTGGTCTGGACTCCTAGTCAGAGGGTCGTCTCACTTTCCACCTGCCTCTTTCCAAATCTACTCAGGTTATGGGACAGTGTTGTAGGATCATGGACTCAGAGATGCTTTTGGCTGAGGGTGGAGGATAGATGGGGACTTGGCTCATTTTACAGATGAGAAGGCTGTGGATCAAAATGGGGAAGTAATTCGTCTGAGGTCATAAAGCAAGATGGTGGAAGAGCTAGCACCACCCCCCTGGGCAGAGCACCCCTTCCTGCAGGGGTGGAAGCCTTTGTATATGTGTGCTTAAATAGACAGCGGAACGGGAAAGGGGGCAGTGACAAAACAGACAGGCTCCAGGAAGTAAATGCATTGGGCACCTCCAACTTTCCGTGCTGAATAATCTTCTCTTCTCCCACAAAATCTTCTTCCTTGGGTAGTGGAAACATGGCCAGACTGGTTTTGTTTTTCATCTTCTTTTCCTGCTGGTTACTGGGAAGAACAGGAGGGAAAAAATAGAGGGGACTTAAATCACCAGTCCTCCAAAAGCCGTGGATTTCTTGGCTTCAGAGAGTTTGCAGAGCAGCAGGAAATTTTTAATCCAGGGAAGAAAACCAGCAGGGCTTTTTTTGTTTGTTTGTTTAGAGCTAAAAACCTGTGCAGCTGGGAAGTCTGGAGGATATTTTTCCTTCCACCTTCCTGCTGCTGCTCCAAAGCTAGAAGGCACGAATGCATCTTTGCAGGGGCTGCCCTGGCCTGTGCTGATCTAGCCCCCAACACACATCCCTTTTTAACTCACTAGAACCCTGTGAGGTGAGCTCTCTTTATGTCTCCATCTTTTTTTTTTTTTCTAACGTTTATTTATTTATTTTTGGGACAGAGAGAGACAGAGCATGAACGGGGGAGGGGCAGAGAGAGAGGGAGACACAGAATCGGAAGCAGGCTCCAGGCTCTGAGCCATCAGCCCAGAGCCCGAGGCGGGGCTCGAACTCACGGACCGCGAGATCGTGACCTGAGCTGAAGTCGGACGCTTAACCGACTGAGCCACCCAGGCGCCCCTCTTTATGTCTCCATCTTAAAGGCAAGGAAACTGAGCCTTAGGCAGTTTAAGTAACTTGTCTAAGGTCACAAAGTACATTCTAGAGCCAGAATTTGGACCCCATCTGCCTGAGTCTAATGCCCAGCCAACCTCACCTCTTCCCTGGTTCACTAGATACTCTCAGAGTGCCTAAAAGCCCCACAGCTAAATCAAGGTCGCCTCGCTGCTCCTGGCCAATGTGCTAAGCAGTCCCCACCCCCAACTGGCACAGGAGAAGGTAGTCCTAACTGGGCACTCCCCTCTTCCCTGGCAGCTTACTTTCTATACACAGACATTCCTGAAACACCTCTTTGCCAGGCAGAGGGGGGATGAGGTCGGCCTGAGAAGAGCCCCCTGGTGGTCAGAACAGCGCCTACACTGTACCGCCGTTGAGCTTGCCTGGTGGCTCCACAGGCCTCCTAATTACATTTGATGCTTGCCTGCGTGTGCAAGCGTCCCCTTTGCACAGATGAGGAAGCGGAGACCTGGAGAGCGGAAATGACTTGTCGCACAGAAATACACGGCTTATAATTCATTATTTTAGCAAATATTTATCTACTGCTCTTTGCCAGGCACTGTTTTAGGTGCTGGGAGTTTAGCAGTGAACAGAACAGACAACCCCCCCTTGTCCTCATGGAGCTGCCATTCTAGTGCCAGGGGGCGGCAAGTCGTGGCCCGTGGGTCAAATTCAGCCCGTGGCCTGTTTTGAGACAGCCATGAGCTCAGAATGGTTTTTTTTCTTCTGTTTTTAAATAGTTAAAAAAGAAATCAGAAGAATAACATTTTGTGCCACATGAAAATTATGCGAAATTCACATTTACAGTTTTTGACCCATGAAATTTTAATGGAACTGGCATGCTCACTCGCGTAGCTGTTGACTGTCTACTTTTGTGCCACAGCAGCAGAATTGAGTAATTGCAAGAGACCATACAGCCCCACAAAGCCAAAAACATTGACTATCTGGCCCTCAGCAGAAAACGTTCATTGACCCTGGTCCTAACAGGTAATGAGCACATCGTGACAATAACTAACATACATCAAATACTTGCTTTGGGTGGGCACTTTGCTCAGCCCCCCCTTCCATTGTGTTGGATGATGGTTACTCCTCTGGTGCTGTGATTATCCTCCCTGTTGCTAGAAGGATGGGAGACTTGGAGAAGTGAAGCACCTTGCCCAAGAGCACACAGCTAAACATTGGTCTAGCAGCCTTGTAATTGTAACGGCAGTTCTGCCCAGCCAGAGCCAGCCTGCACTGTGAACCATTATGCAGACCCAGGACTCAAATCTGACATGTTGAGCCCGATTTCCACCTTCTTTTCCTCCTATCATGCTGCTTCCAAAGTTACAAGAAGTTCTAGACCCAGGAAGGGCCAGGGCCTCTCTCACCCCTGCCACGCCCCCTCCCCCAGGTCCTGCCGACACCTGCCCTGTGTGGTTTGGGCTGCTGAGCGCTGGCCTCAGAGGGTCCAGTGAGGCCGGCTGTTGTTAGTGTCTAGGGGGGAGGGGGGAGAAGCCTAGAGACAGGCTGGACTGTAGAAACCCCAGCATGACCGGTGAGGCAAAGACGGGATGGGGGGTGTGGTGCCCGGGGCTGTTGCCAGCTACCCACTCACAAGGCCCAATTCATGCACTAGCCAGATAATGTCAAAGTTTCAGCCTTCCGCTGATTTACGGGCCTGAGCTCCTCACTGAGGCCACCTAATTAATTGGCAGTGAGAAATGTGCTGGATTTGGTGAAATTCATCTTTGTCATGTGGCTTTCCCCCCCACCCCACCCCCAATTCCCTCCAACCCTGAAGGGATCCATTAAATCATGCACAGACCTCACTGTCAGAAGTGTGGGTCTAGCCAGGGCACCAGGCACTCTGCCTCGTGATGCCTGAGCTCTGCCTGGCTTGGGGATCTTGTGTGGTCCCAGATTCAATCGTGGATTCATTTATTCACTCTGTGGAGTCACTTCGGCATCCGCTTCCTCATTCCTTCCGCCGTCCGGTCATCCATTCACTCATTCATTCACTCAGTCCATCGCCCACCAATCATGCTACTCATCCACTCCCTCATGACACATCCACCGAGAAGCAGCCCAGGGCAGTGGGGAAACCACGGCCTTTGATAGTCAGGCTCTCCTGGTTTGGAACCCAGCCTTCTCCACCTATGAGCTTGTGCTACATTTCCCTGAGGAATTTACTCACCTTTCCAGAGGTAGAGTCTCCTCAGTTAAATGGGCATGATGAATTCTACCTCCTAGCACTGCCAGAGGAGGATAGATAGACACTGACAAATGGTAGCTATTACGATTATGGCAGGTGCAAGGCTGATCACTGGGGTTTAGAAAATCAGTGGCCTGAGGAAGATTACAGTCCGGTGGACAGGGGGGTACGGACATGGCAGGAGGAGGGGTTGACGTGGTCAAAGACGCCACCTGGTGCACAGTATGGAGAAGCTGGCTGGGGCCAGAGCTCAAGTCCTCACGTCCTTTCCATGGGGAACCTGAGATTCAGGAACTTTGTCCCCTCTGCTCATAAACGTAGAGCTTTAGAACCAAGTCTGGCTGGTTTTAAAGCATGTACTTGACACTGTGCTGCCTTGAGAAGAGCTGGCCCTTCTGAAGTGGGGACTGCAGGGGAATGGCTTCCAGGGAGCCAGGCCGTGGGTGTTGGCTTGGGCAGGGCTCAGACCCACAGGGCTGGAGGGGTGAGATATCAGAGACACAGTAAAGGCTGCTCCAGAGGTATCCGAAGGGTCTTTCAAGAATCTATCCTTTTTTCAGAGGTCTGGTTCATCCTGGCCACCGCACACCCAGCATCTCCCACTGAGGGTGGCCGGGGAGAAGCCCAGAAGTTTAGACAGTGGAAAGGGCTGTCCCATGGCTGTCAGAGGCCACAGGCTGATGGCACAACCACTGCGTGGGATGCTGGTGAAGGCAGCCGCAAGGAGGCCATAGAGCTGGGCTCAGAGGGCCAAGGAGGAGCTCCCAGGGAGGCCAAGGGAAAGTGGCCTCAGTAAAGGCAGAGAGACTCCACGGCTGGCCAGTCGGTGGTGGGGCTGGGTGTCTTTCAGGAGCTCTATGTTCAGTGACCTCTGGGGCCCAGAAGGAGAGACAGTGTTCTCTGAACCCCACCTTGGAGAAAACTGGAGGAAGAAAACAAGGGCCCAGGAGGGAGTGAAGGCCCTAGAGCCATACA